CCTAGCACCACCCAGTACGACTCTATAAACAATTTCGTCCTCGAGCATACGATTGTCGAACCATTCAAATCCTCACCTCTCACAACCTACTTCAGACGATGCTCATGGTCCCCAGATGGAAATCACATCGCAGCAGCTAACGCAGTTAACGGGCCAGTGAGCTCTGTGGCCATCATAAACCGTGGAATCTGGGATAGCGATATCAACTTGATTGGGCATGAGGGGCCGACGGAAGTTTGCACGTTCTCTCCACGTCTATTCAGCAAACAGGAGATCAGTGCAGATACGACAGATAATAGCGGCCATAGTACACAACCACTGGTTACTGTTATCGCATGCGCTGGGCAGGACAAGACTTTGAGCATCTGGAACACTAGCTCCTCTCGGCCTTTGGTTGTATGCCAGGACTTAGCAGCCAAGTCGATCTCAGACTTGACCTGGGCTCCTGATGGCGCTACGATTTTTGCTACGAGTTTAGACGGCAGCATTATTGCTGTTCAATTTGAAAAGGGTGAGCTAGGGTATATAGCACCATGGTCCGAGAACGAGAAGGCTCTTCAGAAGTTTGGTGTTGGGCGGAGAGGTGTAGGAGTCGTAGAAGACATATCTGGCTTGCGACTGGAAGACCTGGCCAAAGCTGGTGAGATGGCTGGTGCACAAGGAAGAATGGGTGAGCTCATGGGTGCCCCAGATTCCCAACCAGCACCTTTGATGAATGGAACTATTCACGCATCTCCGATTGCTAGTGTTACTCCTACGCCTGCAGTGGTAGCCAATGGTGGGCCGGTGCAGGAAGCTCCACCGGCTGCCGTGGAAGATTCGAGTGCTCAAAAAGTGGAGGCCATGAAGCAACGAGTAACCATAACGAAAGAAGGCAAGAAGAGGGTTGCACCATTGCTTGTGTCTTCATCAGGAACAGGACTTTCATCATTACCACAAACTCAGATGATCGCTGGAATATCGAGCAACTTGACTTCTGAAGCTCCACAGTCGATACTGGATCTTTCCAAGCCTTATGATGGACTTCCGCGAGGTGGAATTGCATCTATGCTTCTCGGTAACAAGAGGAAGGCTATTTATCTTGACGGTGAAGAGGACGTAGAGCATCAGAGTAAGCGGCCAGCGCTAGGAGATGGCAATGGACCAATCCCTATCATGATCAATGGTATCAACGGCGCAGAGCCAGCTGTACCATCGCTGCCAAGGATTGGTGTCGTATCGACGCCAGACTTCATTCGCCCAGCAATCGTCAATGCAACGTTATCTGTCAGCCAGCTTCGCTTAGCAGTTCCGAGAATTCGGACACATATTCTGAGGTCATTGGATCGCGGAACTTTGGCATCAACAACAGCTAACGGAACGAGCGGTGTGGATGAATCGTCCAAAGCGTCTGAGGATATTATTTTTGAGGCTGTCAATCCTGCGCAAACAGGTGCTGTGAGAAAGGATCCTGCCAAGATTAGTACCACTAAGCGTGGTGCTGTTCTGTGGCAAGACTTTCTTCCACAAGCTGTCATTCTCGTTACGGGCAACAAGAACTTTTGGTCTGCCGCTTGCGAAGACGGCAGTATCTATACCTGGACTCCTAGTGGACGTAGGATCTTCAATGCTCTATGCGTTGAAGCTCAACCTGTCATACTCGAGTCTCGAGGATGGTGGTTGCTATGCATCACCGCGGTTGGTACATGTCACGTATGGAGTCTCAAAACTCTGTCATCACCCCATCCGCCTGTGTCGATGGCACCCATACTAGATATTGCGATGCACTCCTTGGGAACACATACTACCAGTGGTCCGGCCGTGACATCAGCACATCTTAATTCCAACGGTTTCATCATTGTCACCCTAAATAACGGTGATGGATACATGTACTCTCCAAACCTCTTTGTTTGGCAGCGCTTGTCGGAGGCATGGTGGGCTGTAAGCAGTCAGTACTGGAATTCGAATGACTCTTCCCTCAGTAGTCTACAGTCCAGTAGTGTTGGGCCGGACATGCGCCGAGATGATCAAGTTGGTACCGCGGACATATCCGCCGGTGTTATTCCACATCTCGAGAGACACACCACCAATGAGGTACTGCTCAAGGGCAGAGCGTACACACTGCAGCGAATGACCAAGGCACTACTGTCAAGGGAGGGATTCGAGACGTTCGAGTCAACCGTCAGCATTGGCCATCTTGAAAACCGTGTTGCAGCTGCACTTCAACTTGGAGCTAAGGAGGAATTCAAGACGTATCTTAACATGTACACAAAGCGACTAGGCGCTGAAGGTCAGAAGAACAAGATTGAGGAGCTCCTTCGGAGTATCCTGGGTGGTGTATTGCAAGAGAAAGATGGCGCAGGCGAAAAAGGTGCAGGTTGGTTAAGTAACAACAAGCAGCTATGTGGCTGGGACAGAAAGGAACTCCTCAGACAAGCTGTATTGATACTTGGTAAGTGTTGGGCAACTGGATTTTAAGCATCCGACTAACAGCTAGCAGGAAAATTCCGAGAACTGCAACGACTGACCGTTCAATATGCGAAGGTTCTAGATATGGTTGAAGAAGAATAGGAAATCGCGTCAAGTGTGCGATGCCGGAGTTTAAGGTGGTATACAGGGATCGATTTCCTATTTTGGAAAAGATGGTGTTCTGAGCTTCATTTGGGGCAGATATAGTGTAAGAAATGTGTATTGCATATATTCGGTATTATGGGGAGAGCCAAACAAACCCCTTCTTTCATCTTAGATGTGTCCTTGCCATTGCAGTACCGCTCTTACCTTCTTCCACCTCGCATGTGAGTTTGTCACTTCCCAATCTAGTCCATGCTTATGCTTCTTTCCTCTTGAGTTTTACTTACGACAGGCACATAACCGATAAACAAAGCTCATTCTGTTTCTCTTACTTCTGAAGACCTTGCTAGACCAACTCCAACCCAACATGAAAATCATGGATACTCCCACTCCAATGTTACCACGGAAAGTCTCCAACGTGCTCCACAAGCGAAGTCCGCTTCCAAAACCCTTCAGCGCCGATGATATCTCACAACTCGGCTCCATCACCATCTCTTCGGAGGAGGGTAATGCTTGGGAGGATGCCTCGGAGGTTTTCTGGGACACACCGAAGAGGCGGTGGAAGCTTCCTGTTTTGCACTCCAGAAGCATCAAATTCTCTCGCCCAAAACTGCAAGTCAAGGATTCTTCGCTGAATCGTTCATTCTAATCAGCTCTAGAACACGACGACAAACTGCTCTCTATCTCCTTGTCGCCATTGGAGTGACCTTTGGTTTCATCACACCTTTCCGCACATCTTCAATCAATTTAGTATTCGACCCGTACAAGCCGATCCGACCAGAGCTGTCTCCCACGCCGGGAAACACTGCAGATCCCATAAAGTGGCTGAAGGAGAACTCGAATGATAAACATGCTGTGACGAAAGGGTTTCTATCTCGTCTACAGCATGGCCGTCCTCGCGCGGCACTCATAAGCCTAGTGAGAAACGCTGAGCTACCAGGAATGATACAGAGTATACGGCAGATGGAAGAGAAATGGAATGCAAAATACTTGGTGCGTGAACAAGAGCGTGCGGTAGCGTAGTGAGCTGACCCTGTCAGTATCCTTGGATATTTTTCAACGATGAGCCGTTCTCTGATGAGTTCAAGACAGAGACCCAGAATGCAACTGCTGCGAAATGTTTCTACGCCGTCATTCCGAAGGAGCACTGGTCGCTTCCAGAATGGATCGATGAGGATCGGTTCATAAACGGGCTGGAGTATCTGGGCACAATTGGGGTAGGAAAGGGATGGCTGGTCAGCTATCATCATATGTGCCGCTGGAATAGTGGCTTCTTTTACAAGCACCCGATCCTTAAGGACTATGACTGGTATTGGAGAGTTGAGCCAGACGTCCGTACTCCATCTGCCGGTCCTGAAACTATCTGATTTGAAATAGGTGCACTACTTTTGCAAGATGTCCTACGATCCTTTCCGTTTTATGCGAGACAACAATCTCAAATACGGCTTTAATATGAACATACTAGACGATGCACGCTCATTTCCTTCCCTTGGGCCACACACAGCAGCTTTCATGAAAACCTCTCCACACCTTGTCCATCCCAACGCTGATCTCACCTGGCTTGTCGACACCAATACTTCCGACTATAACAACTGTCAGTTCTTCTCCAACTTCGAGATCGGCTCGCTCAACTTCTGGCGTTCACCTCAACACCAGGCCTACTTCGACTACCTAGACCAAGCCGGAGGGTTCTACTATGAACGCTGGGGTGACGCACCGGTGCATACTCTCAGCATCGGCATGTTCGTACCGAAAGCGGAGATCTGGTTCTTCAGAGACTTGGGATATCAGCATGATGTTAACATGCACTGTCCGCCAAATCGAGAGGTAGCTTGTGATTGTCAGAAAACGCGACTCGATGAGAATTTTTATAAGCTGGTGCCTTTGCAGAGTCCGCAGCGGAAGCCAGATGATACTTGTATACGACAGTTCTTGGGAGGGAAGTGGTTGGAGAAGAAGGATGGATGGACGATGGGAGTTGAGAAGGCGTTCGGAGGGGATGGATATCATGGGTATAAATTGCTGGAAGATGAGTGAGTCTTTTTTGGGAAAGCAGCGGGCAAGTGCAAGACAGTATAATATATAGTGGCGTGTAGTTGATGATTAAATTTATGTTGATCACCTAAACAGTTCTACGTTTCACTAAGGTGTCACTCTTATTATATTTCAATATAGCTCTATTGTGTTCACAAGATTATATTCTCTATATCAACCGCACCTCGATTTTCTGCTCCTACATTCCAGACACTTTCGAGTGAACAACACAAAAGGGATGTGGAGAATCACACGATTACGATTTACCTCTGCTCGCTTAGTTCCACACTTATCACAGCTGCATCCAAATTCAAAGTTCAACAAAAAACTTGCAAAAAATCCAAAAAAGAGATCATGTTTTGTCCTCTGCGACTGCGAATATTAGTTAGTAACAATATTATGTAAATTTCAGTTGAAAACACTTACGAGTCGAACTCGCGACCTTCGGATAACTCTAGAGTTGTCTAGATCATACTGATGTGGTATGAGACCGACGCTTTAACCAACTAAGCCAAGAAGACTGGATTCCGTTGTATTTATATTACGGTCATCTGTAAGTACTTTATATACCAAAAGTAAAAATGGATGGGGATGGCTTTGGAGGAAGTAAGTGGAGGTGACATAAAGTTGACGCGGCTTGCGTTTGAGTGGCTGTTTAAAGTCCGCGAAAAAAAAAGAAGATGCGAAAAGGAGACTTGTTAGTCTGAAGAGATTGAACCGCTTCAGCAATGAGGCTAACAATCACAGAACTCGGTGGTCGACCACAAGTCGAAGTCGGTGGAGGATTGAGCGGGGGAGATCTAGCTCATCGTTCGATGCCTTTCATTCAGATTTCAAGCTTTCGGAGATAGCTATCTAGGTAGGAAATGCTTAAAGAGATAACAAGATCTTGCAAAGTATCAGGATTTGAAGACGAATTAAAATTTTACTATATGGTATACATAGAAATGATCCCCTTTGTGTACTCAATGGAGTACAATTCTGTTCATGAACCGAGTATCAGCAACCACTGCTAGTACTCCACCCGCCAATAGCACAAGGCGACAAAAGTACGAAGATTACAATATTATTTTGCTATTTTACAAGTAGTTTACTGTCTCCATGTCGAGAGTTCACTTCTTGCTCTCCTTAGCAGTCTTCTCACCGATGTTTTCTATCTCTGTAGCCCTCTTTGACAGGATATCAGCAACCTCTTTGTATGTCTTGTTCAGGATCTCCTTAGCATCCTCTCCATGGTCCTTAGCGACATCGCCCAGCTTCTGCAGCTTTGGGAAGATCTCACTTCCACCTGGGATCATCTTGGCGTACTCATCGAGCGATTGGGCCATACCGCTGCTTTTGGCTTGCTCGTTAGCTTTCAAGACCAGTCCGTTCAGTTTATCGGTGTTGCCATCCTTGACTGCTGCTAAGATTTCCGAGAGGCTACCGCTCTTCAGCTTGTCTGCATTTTCCTCGATGGTGTTCTTGATCTCAGGGTTTTTGTCGAGGTATGGCTTCACCTGCTCCATACCCTTTTTCCATGCCTCGTCACCGAGTTCCTTGACTTTCTCGGTCTTATCCTCGATCAACTAATGATATGTTAGCCACTGCAAACTTCGAAGCGGCTTGGATGTCTCGCCTTCTTAATCCTAGCAATCGTTCCGAAACCAACACCACCCGCGATAATATCCTTGATCTCATCATAAGTTTCTTGCAGCTCCTTCTTGGCGGACTCTCCGCCAGAATCGGCAAGAGACTTGAGCCGATGCAAGTTGCCTCCGAACTTCTCCTTAATCTCGGGGTTGTTGTCGAGGAAGCTATACAGTGTTAGCACATACTGCACAATACCGAAATTGGGGTTCGTCTGCACTTACTCGGTAGAAGAATCAGCAGCCAGTTTACCGAGCTTCGACAATGCTGATTCTATGATCTCCCAGTTCTTAATAGCAGTCTCCATGGTCATGCCCGACTTCGTAGCATCCTTCAACTGCGTGTATGCATCCTGTATGATCTTCTCAACCTCATCTGAGTGCTTCTCATGGACCTTGTCTAATTCGTCGAAAGCAGAGTCGATATATTTATTGGCTCCAGGAATGAATATTGAATATGAGGAAGCTATTGACCTTAGCCACTTGAGTGCTTCGTTTGGTGCTGGTGCTTGTGACTGGATGTTTGATGTGAGGTTCTGTATTTGATTCTTGGTTGCGGAGGCAGTGTTGACCATAGTCTTTGCGCCCGAGAAGTGGTAGTATCCGTAACCGGCCTGTAATCGTGTTAGATCGTTGGGCCAAGAGAGAAGTGGCAAGAGGACATACAGCGAAGACTAGAGCACCTCCAGCGATTCCACCAACGAGTCCACTTGAGCCACCAGCTGCAGCAGCTTGCTGGTTCGTGGAGGCGAATCTGACATTCCGTTGAGCAGGAGCTCTTGCCGAACGAGCAGCAACTCTCGCAGCTGTTCTTGAGACTTGCATGATGGTGGTTGTATGTAGTGAACTGGGGAAAATAAGGGGCTGGCTTGCTGAGGAGTAAAGAGCAATTGGTATGAGTAATGTCAATGGAGGATCATGGAGGATTTGAAGGAAATTAAGAAAAGAAACAGGCACCTCACGTCATGCCCTGTCCTTTGAGCTAGGAGTCATCGTGCTTTTGCGGACATGACCAGATTGAGAGCTAGATACGTCATGGGCCAAGGTACATATTGTATTACAGCAATTCAAAGAATGCTATAATTGGTCTGTTTTATACTTATGGCAGCATACGTGCTGAGCTTCAGCAAAAAAGAGTGGGACCACGAATTGTTCAAGTACCTAGGAAAAGGTGGTGTGGTGTGGGAGTTGATGGAGAGCTCATGGTACTATAATTACGTGTTAAAGTGTTTCTTGATATGTGATGTACTTCACAAGCGCTAGTGGCTCCTACAAGCGAGTAGTTCAGTCTTTTTAGTATTCTGTTCAAAATATCTTATTACTCCAGAATTACCAATTGAAAGAACTTCTGTCCAAAACCAATCGTTTTAGAGTCTCTGGTTACATGTATGAGCTGTGTGTAAAAGTGATCTACAAATACTACACTTCTGAGGAGTTCGTGTTATTCCAAGGACGCCCTCTGACTGATCTGCTACTACCACCTATTCTTCCTGATTATCACTACCAACCACACTTTGTAAATCCTCCATAGTACTGGTTGCTTCTACTCTATCAATATATACTCTCTTACGCTCACGTTTGTGTTTGGTTTCAGCGTTCGAGGCTCGTAATTGGGCGTTCTTGTTCGCTAGGATTGAAGCGTTGTGCATAGCCAAATTGCGTCCCTTGATCAATTGATCAATTGCCTCGATTGTACGATTTGGTGGTGATTGAGAGGCATACCGGACAAGCCTTTTAATTGCCTCGCTCTGAAAGTCAATTCGGCTGTATTGTGTGTTGTCTCTGGAATCCAAGAAGTAAGGGAAGATTGAGGTGTCACTACTTTGCTGGCTAAATCAACCAACAATCATCCTAAAACTTCACTTGCGATCAGCAGAACAAGTCCAGCTGCTTGAATCAATTATGGATCGAAATCAGGCTGAATGATATTAGGCGAACGCGTTGATATGTGCAAGTAGTCCTCCTTGTCAATATGATTAATCCCCACCTGCATCTCGTTCATCACCTCTTTGCCGTGCGCGTTTTAAGGATTGCAAAAAACAACTAACGTCCAGAGGTTGCAACAAGTGTGATGAATGCGGGGGCATACAAAGAGTAGTGATATCATTTGCATTGCAATATTGATCCAATTGGGCTGTATCGTGACTGCCGTGACCGTCCACAATCAAGATGCATTTCGTCCCAATTGTCTGCTGCCTCGTATGTTTATCGAGTATTGATTGTAACCAGGAAAAGCCCGGTTCATCAGTAGTCCATCCGTAATCGCTGGCCTTGATATCCCAATCAGCCAGTATGGCCTCGAGCCAGTGTCGTTGATAAAGCTTGCCTCTGAATAGAACCAGCGGCGGAAGTGATCATCCAGTTGCACTAACGCACTCGATTGCCAGGTTGTATAGAAACCGGCTTGATTCTATGTGATCCAGTCACTACTTTGGTAGTAGAGATGACTCCCATTTGTAAGACAGACTCATCGAAATTGTACAGTTCCCGATCAGAAGTTTGAGGGTGAACACCAAAACCAAACCTACACCTATTACAAGATCACGTATTTTTAGACAGCTACCACTCTAACCGCATTTATTTTCAGTGCATTCTCACGGTAAATTGAATGTTCTATAAGTGATGTAATTCTTGAAAAAATCATAATTTTTTGTGTGCCAGCCTTTTGCCTTGATGACCGCAGCACGATATGGCATACTATTCGCAACTTGTTCGGAAAGATTATCCGGGAGGGCTTCCTAGGTCTCTATTAAGGCTTGTTGTAAAGCGTCGATAGCAGTCTCCGATTTGCCCATATCTGTGAGCTCGGGGTGCATCTGTAGCACTTCTTTTTTTAAGGTGGTGTCAGATATGTTCGATCAGGTTCAAGTTGTGGCTATATGGAGAGCAACCGACAAGAGGAATAGCAATTTCGGTGAACCATTGATTAGCGTATCGCGCGGGCAGTATGTACCGGAGCGTTATCTTGCATGAATTGTAGGCCAGGTTCCCGGTAACAAGGTTTGTTGTCTTCGAGTAATTGTAAATAAGACCTTGCGGAGTAGCCATACTTCTTCGACTCCCGATCCCTGTCTGAAAGATATAATTGTGATCTCCGAATTGCGCCCTCGATGAACCAAAAGTAGCCCCAGACCATAGCCGGTATATCCCGGGACTTTGAATACGTCTGCACCATGATCGGGTCCCATTTTTGTGGTGTTGTACGAAATACCCATTCCACACTTTTGCCCTTCCCACGCTCTGCCGAACACTCATCCGACCACATATGAGACCTCCACTCGGCCAAGGTCCAATTCTCTCGAGTTTTAGCCCAAAGGAACCTCTTACGTGCCACTTCCTTTGTGAACTCGGGGCATCGTTTTGCGCGCCATTTAAGGATTCCAGACGGCTCGAGCATACGCTTGATTGTCGAAGTACTCCAGTTGACAAGTAGGTCGTTCCGAACCTGCGTATACGTGTGTGGTAGCAACTCTACTTTCGTGCGTTTAGGCGCGCGACGCAAGGTGGTGTCTACGATGGATTTGTCCCCGTGGAGAGCTATCGCGATCTCTGCCACCGAACCACCAATTCAGAGGCCCCGACAATCTGGCCTCGCTTGAAAGAAGTCAATTTCTTCTTTTGAACTCGGTTTGATTGCATCGGAGCAAATGGACTACGTCGAGGCGGTATTTTAGGTGTTGGAAGTGGTGATGTTTGGGGAGGAAGGCGAAAATCGGTTTTTTGATGTTCCACCCTCAAACTTTTGAGCTAGTACTGTGTATGACCTAGGTAGTGAAGGAAGTAGATAGGCTGGCGAAGTCGAACTCCCACCTGTCCGTGGTGCTGGCTACGAACCTACGATTGTAGTATGGTTGTAGAGCCAACGGGAGACAAGCGTATTCGATGGAGTTTGT